GCTGACTTGGAAGAATAACAGAGAGAAGGAGTATGCCTTGTAAGGAGCTTCAGTGGCACCTAGAAGTATTCCAAGTCTCAGGCGCACAGGACAAAGGCTCAGCTGCAGGTGCTCAGAGCCGATCCGGAGAGCGGAGTACCAGTGGGCAGGAAGTTCACTAGGGATAAAACCCCAAGACCCAGCGCTGCACAACATTCTGCACCTTCATGGGCTCTCCTGTCTCCTAGTCCCGCTTCTTCTCTCTTCCGCCTTTAGCTCTCCACAGCTCACCAGAAAAGTTGGCTGGGTCAGGGAAATAGGAACCTTGCATAGATACAGACCTATATTTAAATATCACCTGCACTTAAAGGGACCTGGCCAGGCTTCTCTTTTCCTAAGGAGCAAAATTAAATCTGGCTGCTTCAGAAGTTCCGTGACTTTGCTAAGCAAAGACTGCTGTTCACGTGAGAAATAAATTTTAGGTAAAATATCTCAGGAGCCTAGTTCTTGGAAATATTTTCCAGTCTGGAAAATATATTATGGAGAAGTAAATTAACCAGCATGGTTTTCTCTCACAACCGAATGTCAAAATACTGCCCTCTTCATACTCCCTGGGAATTTAAACAGTGCGGCCCGGATCACACAGACTCCTCTCTCACTGCTGGCTGCTGCACCTCGTTTCTGCAGGGCTGTTTTTGGACAGCTGTGGATTGGGAGGAGTGGCTTTCAGGAGTCCAGGATGAGAAGCCAGGCTGGAAGCAGCACAGAGAAAGCGACTGGAAGGAGACATTCACAGGAGAGTAAAGCGCTTGCCTTCTAGAGTATGGGAAAGAAGAGGACCGTGGCTCTGCATGTTTGCTTGGTTACTCTTGTTGCTTTTGCTGCCTGCCCCTGTGCCAACCTTTCATTGCTCTTTGGACTATGGTCCTTTCTGTCCTTGTGTACCTCACAGAATTACTCAGCAGGAAGCAGGACAGAAAACCGGACGTGACCTGAGAACCTGTACCCCAGCCAGGAAACTGCCAAGTGCCTTTGCTCTGCTTGGCAGGCAGGACCTGGCAAGGAACGCCAGCTGCACTGTTGTGACCCAGCAGAAAATGAATGGCTCCGGAGAAATGTCATCCAGGAACTAACGGGTGGGGATCCCCCAGATCCACACTGGCCTGGCACATGTTCTCTAAATTCTTCCTCACTCAGCAGATACTCTGCGGGGTCTCTGCCCCGCGCTGCAGAGAGAGCAGTGCACAATCAGGCATGAAGCCTTGGCCCCACGGGGCTCCAGCCTAGTGGGCAAGAGAGGACGCAAAGAAGAAAATCATACCATCTGGTGAGCGGTAAACGTGACAGAGCAAAAGGAGACAAGGAAAGGGAGAGGGAGTGCCAGGTGAGAGCGAGGGCAGGGTGTTCCATGCCAGGCCAGGTGATGTGGGCACCTGTGCCGAGACAGTGACATTTAAAAAAGGGACTCTAACCAGGGTGCAGCCCGGGCATTGACAGGCGCAATCAGGGCACACATACATGTCTTACAACCAGGTTTTTTTAGGGCTTCATTCTCTTCTTTTTTTGAGCTAGATCTCCCTAGCTCCCTCAGGCTAAGCTCTAACACCTGGGAGATCCCCTGGAAATCCTCCTGCCTCAAGTTCCCAAGCAGCTCTGACTACAGGCACTGGCCACTGTGCTGGGCTGGGTACCTTGTTATTTTGTGCATTCAGTTCTCCAGACACTGGAGGAAGGTTTCCCAGTGTAAATCAGAAAACGGGCCCAGAGGGAAAAGACTGTAAAAGGGAAAGACCCAACATGCTGCTTTTCCTTCTATATCCATTCTCTCCTTCTTTCTTTTGATGTAGACCTGCCTAAAGGCACTTTGGTATACAGGCAAGAGGCTTCCCAGCCTGGGGTCCTTTGGCTTAGCCCCTCTCTAGCCAGGTGGGGCCATGGGACCAAGTTCTGGCTATGGAACATGCAATGGTTTAGATCTAAAATGCTCCCCAGAAGTCTCATATGCTTAAAAGGCCATTGGATGTGGGGGTTCAATACTCATCAGTGGACCAATCCAGTGAGCTCATAGCTAAATGTGGTATTGGGAGCTCAGGCCTGCTCAGAGGAGGCGGGTCACCGGGGTCATGACCTGGATGGGTGTATTCCTCCCCACTTCCCCCTTCTTTGTTTCCTGACCGCCAAGGGTTGAGGAGCTTTCCTCCGCCACACACTTCCACCATGCCCTTTCCGCCTTGGAGCTGGCAAACCATGGACTGAACCTTCTGCAAACCATGATCCAAAATAAACCTCCTCCTTTAAGTTGCCATGGTGGGTATTATGTTCCAGTCACAGGAAAGCCTGCTAATAATACGGGGCATGAATGGAAGTGATGCATATAAGTCCTGGGTCCATTGTGACCTCAGGGCCAATGCCAGGTGCCTGCTCTGGACTGTTCAGACAGAAATAAGCTTCTATCAGGCATTTAAGTCTTTGTTACAGTAGCTTCACTTGTATCCCACCTGTGTGGGTCACAGGAAATAGAAGACCCAGCAGACGAGACAGAGAGATCTTCGGCATGGTGGTAAAGGGAAATGGAGCCCAGACAGATGGACAGCTCTTGCCAAGACATGGAACAGCTGGTCCAATTGGAGCTGTGTATAATTGTTTTTTAACTTGGCTACACTAGGAATTGAACCCAGGGCCTGGTGCATGCTAGGCAAGTGCTCTGCCACTGAGCTACGTCCAAGCTTTTTTTTTTTTGAGGACAGAATGCCCAGATGGACTGACACAGATTCTTATTTGTCCTTAGCATCTCTTGTGCTGCTGACAGTTCTGTTCTCAAGCTGCATACCTGCCCAGGTGAGAAGTACTGGGCTCTGAACTGCTTCTGAGAGCAGAGCTGGAAGGTGCTTCCAAGCAGGAAAGGCAGAGCTGCCCATTCCCACTGACCATGTCTCTGGGGTCACCTGCGTCTCCAAGACTCCTTTGGGACCTCTCTGGCTTCCTCGGAGGTGGCTCCGGTAAACTCCTGGGGAAGCTGAACAAGCACAGGACACGAGCCAGTCCTCAGCTTCTCTTGTGAGTATTTTACCACGATTGTGGTAACACAGCTAGGTGATATTTGCTATTGCTATTCAAAAGGAAAATGCACTGCTTAGGGATATTATGGGGAATAAAACTATAGGGAGAGGCATTAGAATAAATACAACAGAAATGAACTAAAGCCCACCTGTGTGGGAGGGAGGGAGGGAGACCGTTGGAGGCCCACACAGGCCTCTATGGTACTTTACGAAGAACCTTAGAAACATTCTCTGTGTAGGTTTCATTTCTGACCTAGCCGATAGATACATAGATAAGTAGAAGTGTACAGTGGAGGAGGAGGAGGAGGAGGAGGGGGAGGGGGAGGAGGAATGTGCAAGTACAACAAAGAAGAAGGAGACAGCAGGGGGAGGAACTCAAGGAAGCAGGAGCCAGAAGTGTGAGAAAATACAGGTGAGAGGCCCTGAGTGGACCAGGGCTGCGCCCACCTCCTGAGGCCGTTCCTGGTGTGGGGCAGTGTGGAACTTGCACCGTCTACTGCAGTCTCCGTTGAAAGGAGTGGTCAGGGCTCATTGGGGAAAAACTCAGAAATATAAAAGCATTAAATGGGTAAATGAAAAAATGGGATGTGAAATGAAAAAGATGATTAATGAACCCTAAACATGAAGTAGGCTAGTGCTGACATATTTAAATTATTTGTCATAGGTACTTTAAAAATTACATCAAACATTTATATTTAAACAGTGATGACACCACATCTTTAATTATAATGGTAGGGACAAACACAAATAAAGATTTAAGATGGTGCATTTCATATTAATAATATCCCTTAAAGTCTTGAGAATGTGGAACAAAACTAGATACAAATCACAAGTCAGCTGGGTGTGGTTGCGCATGCCTGTAATCCCAGCACTCAGGAGGCTGAGGCAGGGGGATTGTTGTGAGTTCAAGACCAGCCTGGGTTACAAAGTGAGCTCAAGGCCACCCTGAACTGCACAGTGAGACCCTGTCTCAAAAAGACCAAAAAAAAAAAAAAAAAAAAAAAAAATCACAAGTCATCTCTAGCTACTTATTAGAAAAAAATTAACTGTCCTCACTGGAGACCACAGAAGGAAATTAACTTAATCTTGCAATTCTAGAACACACAATTAAACTTCATGGTAAGGGATTCTTACATTTTTAAGGTGTGTGAGTCATAGAAGGAATCATTTAGGGTTGTGTTTCTCAAATTTAGCTTCTTTCTCAGATATATTTAGGGGGGCTACCAGTTTTCTGCAATACTGTTTTACATTTCATGTTTTAATATTTCTGGTACTCTAAAGTATTAGTACATTGCTTTTGTATGTAACAGTATTGCTAGGTGTCTATACACTCTGCCCCAAATTGCCACCCTTGTGGCCCCAGAGGCCCCCGGTGAGGATCAAGACTTAATTTTTTTGTACAGGTTTTCACATTGGGTTCTTACACCCTCCACAGAACTGGGAAACACTGAAGCAAGTTTTGAGCACTGGTTCTCAAGGCAGGGTAGGGACAGTGGGTGCATGCGATTTGAAAAAAAAAAAAGTTCAAAATATCCATTGAGCCGGGCATGGTGGTGCACACTTATAATCCCAGCACTTGGGAGGCTGAGGCAGGAGAATCGTTGCAAGTTCGAGACTAGCCTGGGCTACATAGTGAGCTCAAGGCCAGCCTGAAGTGCATAGTGAGAGACCCTGCCCAAAAAGGCCAAAAAAAAAAAAAAAAAAAATCCATTGATTTCATCACCTAAAGCCAGTCTCAGCCGAATAACTTCAGCTGATGGGCTATAGCAGAAAACTAGTGGGGGATTCTGGATACACATGGCTGAAAAACACTGCCTTGGAGCTGGAGGTGCTGGCACTCAGAGAAGGGTTCATTAGAAACGTGCTGAAGAGAAAGAACACCTTTCGGATCAGTGACTCTTAAACCAGAACATGTGGTGGTCTCCTGGAACCCACATGCCAACCCAGAAGAAACCCACAATAGTCCATCAACCTCCTTGGCCCCATGATGAAGGGCAAGGTGGTCTACTTTTTAATTCTGAGGCAAAAGAAGAAAACAAAAGGCTGGTTTTGCTCCAAATCCCGTGACCAGGAAATGCCATCATCCTTCTCCATGTCATCCAGTTCTCAAGGCAGGACAGCAGCACGGGGTCTGTTCTGCTAGGAAAGAAACACAGAATTGGATCTTGCGCAATAAATTACTGCGTCATTTCCCCTTTCATCATCAGCAGGCGCGGTCTGGCTGTTTAAGCACACTTTGCCATAGATGGCCTTGGGGTGGAGGCGCCAGCCCCGTGGGGACATCATAGACTGCTGAAGGAGGAGGATAATGCAGAGAAAGCAGGCTTTGTGAACAGCTGACTCTAATGCCCGCACCAAAATATATGGGGAGATGGTATCTCCCTTCCCCTCCTATTCTCAAGCTAATCCTAAAGTACTAAACATGCTCCAGAGCAGAGAACATTCAGAGCCACTAATTGTTTTTGGTTTATATTTTTTTCTTTTCTTTTCATTTCTTTCTTCCTTTTCTTTTTTTCCTTTCTTTTCTTGTCTTTTTTTCTTTCCTTTTCTTTCCTCTTTCTGTCTGTCTGTCTGTCTGTCTTTTTTAGACAGGGTCTCTCTATGGAGCTCAGGCTGCCATCAAATTCCCTGCGATCCTCCTGCCTCAGCCTCTCGAGTGCTGGGATTACAGGTATGTGCCACCATGCCAGCTCTAATTGGGCTTCTAGTGTTTTAGAACATGGTGTAAGGCCAAAAAGTGAACACGGATACACAATACTCTCCTGTGATGATGAGGTGGCACGTTGCGATTGGAAGATCTACAATTGGCTATTGAGTATTTTGTGTCAGAGGACTCGGATGTATTTTTTTTCAAACATTTTTTTCTCTTCTGTTGCTGTTCTGAGTAACCATCCCAAATTATGCATGCCCCAGGGATAAATTACTATTCCCTGGCAGTACGTCCCCTCAAAGAACCTTCTGGTTCAAGAGCCACTCATTTCTCTGATTGAAGAAACACTCAGGTCCTTCTGAGTCAGAGGCAGCAGGATGGCCCCGTGTGGACGATTGCTGGCACAGGCTGCTGGGGAGCTGCTGGGGGGAGTCACTCACCCAACCCCAACAGCAGCCTGGTTTCTGCCTAAATAGCTCATTACCCCACGATCTCCCACGGAGCCAAAGGTCTCCTTCAGTTTGGTGATTTTATTATGCTTTGTTTCGGCTTTGGGGAAGCCAGTTAGAAGCTTTGCAATGAAGCAAAAATGACCGCAATTTCACACTGCACAGAGAAGAGATCCAAACCCCTTCTGTGTGCTCTGGCCCTGCCCAGCTTCTTCCCGCTCTGCCTTCCCACTGTATGTTCCGCAGCCTGCTCTCACGTTCTTTCTGCTCCCAGAATGTTCCTTACTTGTCGCCATGTGTGTATTATTCACTCCCTCTGTCTGAGCAACTGCACTTGGCTGTCTCCCCGGGAGCCAGCCTCTCCCGAGAAAGGCCCCCTTTCCCGCACTAGCTCAACTTGCCGCCAGGGTCCTGGCCTGGTGTCGCACTGTCCCACACGCTCCAGGGATGACTGGCTGACTTGGGAGCTGCCTACCTCCCCAGAACGTAAGCTCCACGCTCCCGCTAGGTGTGTCTCTACTTGAGTGCGGTGCCTGGCACCTGAGAAACGCTCAACAAATATTGGTCAAAGGAAGGCTGAGTAATGGTTTCCCCCATTCGCACAATCCATCTTTTCAGAAAATGTGGAATTCAGAAATTATTGACGTCACAGTTCCTCAGATCACCCCCAAATCATCCTTTCCCTCCCCCAGTGTACTTCCAGTCTCCCCTGTCACCCACCTGGAGTCACTGCAGGGCGCCGATCTGCTTCAGCCGGGGCACCAGCTCCCCGTTTTGCTGCAAGGCGGTCAAATCACTGCAGCCCCCTATGCAGTCTCTACCGAGGAACACCCGGGGTACCTACGAAAACAACCAGCCCAGACCCAGCAAGCAATTTAATTCCTAGCAGATCAGAGTGCATGATAATTTCTTCTTCTTCTGGACACTTCCTGTGATCCAAACCTTTCCAAACCGCTGTTCAACCACCCGCTGCCTGTTCTCTTGGGACAGACATTCTAAGCATTACGAGTAAAATTATTTATTAAAGAAGGCTTTTAAGCCAGAATATTTTTCAAGCCGAGTAGGCTGTGCCTTTGATTATCCAACATGTCAAGGGGATTTAAGAATGTCACTCTATGCAAACGTGTTTCCTGGAAGGAACATTTTTTGGTGGTAGCCAGATCACCTTGACTCATCCCAGTTTCCCTGTAGCTGGGACCACACCTGAAGACCTTAAGCTGGGCCACCACCCAGCAAGGCATGTGTTTCTAAGTACAGCTTGGAAAGTATTTGCCTTTGGTCTCTGTGTCTGATTTGTAGTTCTGCCATTTATTAAATACAGTTCTCTCTGCTGTTAAAGCATAGGTGAGCTGTGCCCTCTAGTAGGGGACTGTGGAGTGGTGTCTAGGCCTCCTTTGATCAGAGGCTCTGGTACCAAGGACACTCATCTGTTTTGGTTTTTACGAGGCCGGGGTGGGTGACCCAAGGCCATACTGACAAGGCCATTGTACTTGCTGAATAATGGCTTCCTGTCTAGTCTACTCCTACTGCTGCTAAGTACCCACACATTCTGGAAGTCCAGAGGGTTTTAGAATTCTGAGGGAAGAGAAATTCCCCTCTGGACACAATAGGCAACTTCCAGGCCAACGGTGTCCCAGAGGATGATGGGTAATGAGGAAGGGACCGCCCCCTTGGCAAGTTCTTTCTTTGAATACAAGGAACGTACAGCAGCAGAGGGATGGGAGATAGGAAAGGCAGAATACAGTGAGAATATCTGTCAAAGGACTTGATTTTCCTCAGAAAGCATAATACTATAATTCAAGCAAATTTTCCAAAAGTGAGAAAGATGAGAAAAAGGGCTGAGTTATTTATTGTAGAGAAGTTCTTGTAGTATTTATAGTAAGAAGGGGGTCTGATGGCAGCAGACTTTAAAAGTAAAAGCTAACACTAAAAATGAATCCTGTACCACAATCCACAGCTATTTCCTGTGCCCTGAGAGTGGGAAAAGACCCACAGGACTCCTTTCTGGCAGGTGCCTGGTCGCATCCCGCTAGGCCCCAGAAATCATTTTCATCGATTGAGAAGAGAAAATTTGTAGAAGAGGCGGGAGAGAAGTCTAAAACTTCCCCCAAGTCTTGGCCACTGCTTTAGAGAAAATAAAGTTTCTTCTGCCCACATCTTCGGGGCCCTCTAACTTCTTTCTCCCTGGAAACCCTTGGCTGTGGCTGTAACAGGTAACAGGATTCTAACACCATTCTACTGCAGGGCTCCTGCAGCGAAAGGCACTGCTAATTAAATAAAAACCGTCTGAGGTTTACATGAGGAAGCCGTACACTCTTTCTTAAACTTCTGCATTTTCAGGGAAAATGAGGAATCCTCATGACTCCTAAGCCGGCCAGGGCTCCACACCACATTTCTGCCTCTCTCTTGACTTGGTCGCCATCCACGGAGTCGACTCTTCCTTCCGACGGCATCCCGGAAGGACTGACTCAAACGCAGATTGCTACTCTCCTACCCCTCACTGACTTCTGATGCGGTGCAGCAGCTTAGAGCATTTACATTTCTAACAAGTGACGGGGTGCAGCTGCCACCCCAGGGTCACATTTTTCACCCTGGTCTATACCAAGTAGTCATTTATTCCTCCAGGGTAACTGAGACTTTGGAAACTGCAGCCCCAGAGGGATCGCCAACCCCAAGACGGCCCGCAGGCTGGCCCCAGGGCGGAGTCTGTGCTCAGGGGCCATCTGGCAAAGCAGCTGGCCGGCCTGCGAGCTGGAAGGCTCCTTTCCCCTCCCCTCCCCCGAGAGCCCAGACCGCAGCCAAACAGCCTTAAATCACACAAATCGCGCAGTTGCCGGCATCCTCTGGGCCGCACTGGAGAGGCGAGGAGGCTCCCAGGTGAGGACACAGGAAACAGCCGAGCTGGTGGCTCAGCTGAGGAAAGAAGATAAAACACCCTGCCCTGCTGTGGAGCCCTCACTGTCCCAACGGTCACAAGAACTGGGTCCCGCGGCGCCCTTGCTCTCTGGAGCGGGCTTTCCCACCTTACATGCACCAACATAAACCCCTTTCTCAGCATTCTCCAGTATAGCCTAAAGCCTCAGTTGTTTCTCAGCTCAACCACCGCTGCTTCCTGTTTTCTGCCTTTAAGCCGCACCCTGGTCCTTCCCAGATCCCTTCCTCCCCCGGCACCCAGAGGGACCCCTTCAACACTGGGTAAAATGGAGTCACTCCTCTGCTTGAAAACCCCTCAGGGTGGCTCATCTGGTTCCAGAACCCACCTCAGTCCATGTGATAGGAGTGGAACGACTTCCTGACCCATCTTCTCAGATGTGCTCCTCTGACTCTCCTAACTCACAATGCTACAGCCACACTGACCTCTTTGCCATTCTGCAAGGTACATTTCTACCACAGGACCTTTGCACTTGTTGTTTTTGCTGCCTGGCCTGGGCCTCTAAATTCCTGATTGCCTTCTCCATGACCTCATATAGAAACCTGCTCAAATATTCCCTTCTTAGGCCCTCATGGTTCCATTTCAAAGTACCCTGCTGCCTACCCCCCACCTACTCCTACTTACTGTTTTTACTTACCTCCCCAAATGCCATTTCATTAGTCATTATCTCTCCCACTAGAGTGCAAGTTTGAAAAGGCTTCATCACCCCACCCGACCCCGACCCATGGCTGTTTCACACATCTAGAAAAGAGCCTGGTGCATAGCAGGTGATTAAAAACTTTTTTTTTCTTTGCATCCAGCAAAACCATTCCTTTTGTGAAGAAAAACTAAACTTTCTCAGCCCTACAAAAATTGAGAGAATTTGTTGTCAATAGACCTGCCTTGCAAAAAGTATTCCAAGATGTTCTTCTGGGAGAATAAAGATGCTGTGGGTCAGAAACTCCACTCTTAGAAAGAAAGGAAGAGCGTTACAGGAGGGACAAACAAGGGCCCCAAACCCTATACCCTAACCCCCAAACTAAGCCTAACCCTAAACCCTAACTAGAAAGCTAAACCCTAACCCTAACCCAAGAGGCTGCACCAAGCTCTCCTGACGGAAGTGTGAGTTTCCACCACCAGGGAAGTCCTGCTGAGCTCCTCTGTCCCGGCAGCCCAGGTCACTCCAGGGTAGTTAAGACAGCAAGTACTCTCATGGTTTCTTCTTGATTGTAAACACTATACTACAGCGGTCAGGGGCAGATAATTTTGAAGGACTTTTCCTTGCCTGTAGCAGAATGCATTCTGGACCCAAACTGTGAGCCGTATTTCTTAAACTTAACACACTGCTGCAGAAAAACTGTTTCTTTAAAAAGAAATGAAAACAAAAAGGTCAGTAAGGAAGAACTTTGCCTTTTCTGATCGAGAACAGATGCTGCTAGGCTAAGAACAGAACAGTCATTCCCAAACGGATGCAAATTGAAATCACCTGAAGGTCTTTCAAACCACTGGTGCCTGGCCCCAACAGACTCCAGCATAACTGTTCTGGGTATGATTTGGGCAGAGGGTTTAACAAAAAAATTCCCCCAGGTGCTTCTGTTCATCAGCAGAGTTTGGGAAACACTGGCTGAGAAGGTTTTGAGATAGGAGCAGAGGCAGGGCCACAAGGGTCTGTCATTGTGTCTCTGCTCCCGGACCTCCGCTCACAGCAGCAGGGTGCCATATTTCACCTTTTCCTGCATTGTGGTGCTGATTTCTGATTGGAAAGAAGGGGAGAGAACTCCTGGGCTGTACATCCAGAACTCAGAGAAAACCTGGTACGGCAAATGCACACTGAGAGGGACACTTCCGTCTGCTGGCGGTGTGTCCTAGAACACATCTCCTGAAGGGGAACTTAGGTGAACTGGGGGTACACTTCGTGTCGCCACCTGGAGCAGCAGGATCCCATAGGAAGCCCAGGCCCCTCAGTCCCATAGTGTGCTTGTCACAAGGGGGACTTCTGGTCACCCACTGTGGCTTTGCAGCTGGGATCTTTGAGGACCCCAGGGTGTATCTTGAGAGGGATCACAAAACAAGCCATTGTGACAGTCTGGCCAGAAGTCTGGCCCACTTGAAAAGTCCCGCCATTAATTTACAACAAGGAGCAAATAGACTGGAGAATTGGATTTTTCCACTGGGAGGAGCAGATAAGAAAGAATGAACAAATAAGGTTAGGGTTAAAGAAAGCGCAGAGAAAGAGCAAAGGGCAGCAGATCCATGGGGCCATGTGAAGACAGAAGGAAGTGTGCTCATGGGTCCACGTTGCATAGCAGAAATGTGCAGATCAAACCAGCCTCTCAGCCCACCTCCTGCTCCCAGCCCTGCATGCTGCAAACTGTCAGTTCCTGGAAGGGCTTAAAACAAAGCCGCCAGATGCAGCTTTGGGGACTCCGGCCAGCGGCTGGGCCCATTGACCAGGCGCACGCCAGCTGGGCTCCCTCCTCGGCTCCGAGAGGACCTTCTGGCTGCTCAGCTGCCCATTCAAGGGACCCATGTCTTCGCCTGGGCTCCCTCCCCCACACCCCGAAAGCCTCTGGAAGCCCTGAAGGACAGAGCGCTGGCAGTGTCCTAGAAAAGGCACAGACACACATCCGTTCACAGCCCTGAGAAGAAAACCCAGCCAGGATCCTTTCCACACGAACCCACGCTCACCGTTCTGGCGCCCGTCAGCTGTTGCAAATAATCCTGAATCTCATCTGTGTTGCTGGTGGCTGTAATATCCACGAATTCCAGAAGCCCTTCTTTGAAGGGCAATTGTCTGAGGATCTCTTGGGTCTTTTTGCAGTAGGGGCAGGTGGGTTTGATGAACACAACCACCTTTCCAGGACTGATTTTGCTGTTCACAAACGCTTGAGCCATGCTGACAGCAGCAGCCTCCTCAGAAGAACCCCCAGAGGCAGGTACAGCTCTGAGCTTTAAACTAAACGGGAGGGCCAGCTGGCTGCTATCTACTAAGGAACCTCCCCGGAGGAGGAGTTTGCCTGGTCGAGTTCGAGTCTTAAAGGGACAGCCCGTAAGTCACAGCAGGCCGGTGGGACTCACTATTTACTGAGCCTGTAAAAGCACAACTTGGTAGCTACGCGCCGCGTGACTTTGTCGTCTTTAGACCACCCAGGGTGCCTGCTCTTGGCAGAGATCAGAGTTCGCGGGAAGCACAGACCAGCTTAGGGGAGGAGGCCAATTCTTTGTGTCTTCCCTCTTGGTTTTTCAAATATAAACACAATTATTCACGAAACAAAAGCTGTGGCACCTGTATAGCGAAAGTGGGATTGAAATGGTGACTTGGCACCTGCTTGGCCAGGGTAGTGGGTGCTTGGTGTTGCAATGACCAGCATAGAATCACTTCTCAGCATCTGGAAAATTTGAAGATTGCACATGAGCATCTGGACTTGCAACTTCTCTTTGAAAAGTCAGGTCCAGCAATACTGAGCTCAGCGTTGCTTAGGGCAGCCGCGGTGGCCGGCAGTGGGCCCTAGATGCGGCCCCTTTGGTAGAAGCTGCCATTGGAGACTCCTGCCTCATCCCATCAGTATCTTCTGCAGCGTCCCATTCAGCCACTTCCTGGACTTCAGGCAGTCGATGAGGATTTTCCTCTGAGTCTGTCGCCTTCATTTTTCATTGTTTGCAGGCGAAGTAGGGTAGTTATTTAGCCACTGTATTCCTCATGTTAGAGGACACATGGCAGGGGCTGAGGACTAGAGCATCCGCTCTTCTGCAGAGTGCCTGTCCCCGCTACCAGGCAGAGCAAGAGCCTTCTACTCCCAGGCCTCCTTCAGACTCCTCCAGTGTGTGGTAAGTTAGATAAAGAATCAAGGAAAAATCAATTATCTATTTTCCCAGGAAATGTTATGTTGAAACTAAAGTGCAGTAAGTCCCTGACTAGGAACATTCAAGCTGGGAGCTTTCACAGGTGTGCTGTGTAAGGCTCACGTTGTCATTTGCTTACAAATGAATCCAATTTAGGAGCAATTTTCCCAGAGCGGAACTCACTCCTAAACTGGGGGCTTACTGTACTGTATCTTCAAAAAGTTAGGGCCAGGGCCGGAGCTGGATGCCACCATTGTCATGTTGGTGGGTTCTCAAACATTCTGTGGGTGAGCAGAGAAAAAAATAGACTCCCAGAAGCAGCTTTTTTGGAGGCTCAGCTTTGTGGCTCTAATTGTTATGTAAATAAAATTGGCAAAATGAGAAACTCCAATTCTGGGCTGAGAAAACTCCTTCCCCAGCAGTGCTAGGGCTGTGAGGCTCTAGGAGACATATCTGTGTCAGGCCTGGAGACCTCAGACCCAAAGTTTTACCTCCTCACAATAAGGTCAAGGTGAGACACTTTCCCCTCTTCTACCTCAGACTCAGGCGGCCAGGCCAGTCCCCTCCCTGTGGTCCGAACGTGGAGGCTCCGACCGCTGGAGGCCTATGCCTGGCATTTCCCTCAGAGTCTTTCTTTCCTCAGTGTCTGCTGTGGTCACTCCCTTCCCGCCATCTTTTTCCTCAGAATGTAGCTATGTTTAAGTCTCTCCCACGTTAAAAACCACCATCACTACTTCCTGTGTCTTGCTTTCCGGCCACTGCCTTTCATGAACGTTGCGGTCTTATTTGCCACCTGTACTTTTTTAGGCCATTTCCTCTTTCCTCGTTTCGTTGCAGTCTGAGCTACTTGCAGTGTGACCACACTGTTGAAACCCCTGTGTACTGGTAAATTGCCTTGCAACGACGGTCCCTGGTTGAGCCTAGCGCAGAAGTCTAGGTGGAGTGAATCTCCCCAAGGACCTGTTGGCAGAGGGTCACCAGGGAACTGGGGTACCTTGGGCAGAAGATACAGGGGATCTGCTGTCTACTCCACAGCTTGACCCAGAGACTCATGTCTGAAACCACAGGACAGAAGAACAGAAGACACAAGGTATTTTTGTGAGACGCTGTGAGACATGGGAGACAAATAGGTGAGACAGCAAAGAGGAGGTGGCCCCTTTCATTTCTCAGAAAACACTCGCTTCAGCTCAGTGGTGCTTTGAGCAGAGTCCTTTGCTGCATTGGCTTGTGGGCCAGGTGCGTCTGTGAATGTGGAAGAGCCTATGGGATGAGCACCCAGGTCCTTCCAGAAACGCTGATTGGGCCGGGAGGAAACCTTTGAGAAGAGAAGCGTTTTTGTTGTACACATGGTCGGCAGCAAGCTAGTTCTCCATGGGAAATCTCAGCTATTATTATTCATTTGATCTCACTTGTACCTACAAGCTGACGAGAGTTGCAACAATCTGGCTACCAACAAATATTTTCCTTATTTTTTCACTTGCAAGATTTGTCTCTGTCAATCACTGTCTCCCTCTGGAAGCCCTCCCTTCCCAGTGCCAAAGGCAGCGTGATCTTTTCATTCTGCCTGGAGATTCAGACTCCACCTCTTCCTCAGAAATTTTGCCTATATATGGTGTACGCTGGGCCTTCGCTTCTCACACAGCCTCCCTGAGAGATCTTATCTGCGCCTGTGGTTCCCGATAGCACTTTTTGGCTGAGTCTGGCTTTCATTTTTTCCTGTCTGAACCTCTCTCCTAAGTCCAGGAATGCTTTGCTCCTCAGAAACCAAAACTGCAGATTCCTTGGCCTCCTGGCCTTACCTGAACCAATGGGAAGTCACTGTCTTCCCTTTCCCACCCCTGCCGGTCCTCCTGCACAGAGGGTCAACACCTCTTGGCCAGGGCAGAAACCCGGCAGGATCTTTATGCCCCTGCTTCTCCTTACACACACTGGCCAGGTGCTCACAGGTGGCGTCCTAAGTCCCTGCACAGCCTGACAGCCCAACAGCTCCACAGCTCCAGCCTCTGCCCCTTCTGCCGTCCCGGGGCATTTCCCTGGCCTCCCAACCTGCTTTACATTGCTGCCTGGCCATCATTAGAAGCGCAAATGCTGCCTTCTAAATTGCTCCCAGACTGATCTCAGTGTCCCGAGGAGGTGGCTGGAATGACCAGTTCTCCCTGTGTCCTTTCCACACTCCTACACCTCCGCCCTATCTCCGTTTGCCCCAGCTCTGTGCGCGCTGAGCCGCTGCCTTAGTTTGGCCACTCACACTTGTCTGCTGAAGGACCTGCTGGCACCCGTGCCGAGCACTCGTCCCCCCTCTTGCGGCTGACTCCTGCTGGTCCAGTGGCACCCGGTCCGGATCGGGTGTGAGTTGGAAGGACCTGCGGGGCGCCCTCCCTCCTTCTCCCGCTGGGTCGGCGTCCTCCAGATGCGCTCACATGATATGCGGGCCCAGGCCCATCACATGTCATTGTTCTTTTTTATTAATTCTGTGTTCTCTAAAATGAGTTCCTGAGGACAGAAATACAGCTTTCATCCCGGAATTGTCAGATCTCAGCAGATTAGCAGCTACACACTGGTCTTTATCCATCCACGCGTATGTCCAACGAATAGTTATTAAACAGCTGCTCTGGGCCAGGCACAAGGATCCTCACACACAGCTCCAGGCCTTAGTAACGTATAGTCTTGTGGGGGACACAGGCATGGAAAATGGACACAGTGATGTAAAGAAGTTTGGCCAGGAGTAGAACGGCCGCTCCACTAGGGAAGGGGCCCATTACAACGGAGAGTGAGGCTGGATCTTCAGCCATAATAGGTACATGGAGTGCAGGTATACTTAAAATGCGGATAAATTTGTAGTTAAATATTTCATTAATTAATGACTATGTCACATCTCCCAAGTTACACAATAGATTACTGAATGTAGCTGGATCACAGAAAAGGAATGCTTTGGAGCAGGCAGAGCTCACAGGGTGCCCCGAGCTCACCTGGGCCCAGTTTTGGCTCCCACAGAGCCTGAGGTGGCTGCACGTGGGCAGCAGAGCAGGTGTTGGCTGCCTGGGCTCTGCGCTGCCCTCAAGACTTCCTCCTGCAGCGTCTAGTTGGTGCTCAGGTGAATGAACGAGTTGGCAGCCTCGTGCACCGGAAGCTGCGGCTTTGTGGCTCGGCCCTGTTTCAGGATCTGATCCAGTGTGAAGCTCTCCTTCCCCTTCTCTGCATTTGACCGTGGAGGACAACTGCACCTGATTCTTTTTCTTTTCTTTTTTGTACTGGGAATCGAACTCATGACCTCAGGTTGCCAGGCAAGTGCTTAAGCCACTGAGCTATACCCCCGGCCCTGCACCTGACTCTTAAAAGTCTCTGAACAGACTGTTCCCTCCCCTTCAACCCCTTTGCAGGCCTGTCCACGCTGACACCCACTGACTATGTACCCATTGTGCGCCCTGCTCCGAACTAAGAGTTTTATGTCCCTAACCCTCATGGCAACTTTGAAGGGCAGATAGTTTGGATCTTAGACTGACTAGAAGAATAAGGAAATGGTTTCTGTCAGGCATGGTGGTGCATACCTGTAATCCCAGCACTCGGGAGGCTGAAGCAAGACCCTGTCTCAAAAACATTAAAAAAAAAAAAAGAAATGGCTTCTGTCTTGGATGACATTAAATTCAACCAAGGTCAGGAGAATAAGTTGCTTCCCAACATGATCTGTCTTCCATTTGGAGAGTGTCTCTGGGGCCGCAATTTCTAAGATCTAGGCACAGTCTAGACATGGAATCTCACCTACCAATGCTTTGATCCGAGCATCCCTGGGTCCCACTGAGGTTTCTTGTTCTCATTTTAGGTCAAGACTGTAGTGTCTGGTGCCTTTCCAGGAGTTCAGCACACAGTGGTCTTACTCTTGCTATTGGGCTCATGGGAGAGAATAGCCCCTCCCGTGTTCATGCCAGGTAAACCACACTGAGCCCCTTGCCAGTGAGGAGAGAGAAGCAGCATTGTGTTTCTCTTCTCCCAGCCCCCAGTGCCAGGGCAGCGTACCTCACAGGATATCCTGTTTCCACGCACAGAGCTGGTGTGCTTGCCACAGACAGAAGCCAATTAGCGGAGAGGCAGGGCGGTGGGAGAGAAAGAATTTTATTATGA